GGGAACATCATTCCGATCCCGTACCGATCATTATCACGATCATAACAATATATCAAAAAACAAAATTGCCAGATAAATTTATACAAAATCAATAAATATCAAATTTGGCAATCAAATATACGCTTGAAAATCTTATCAATTTTATCTTATCAATTTTGAAAAAATGTAGGTGTTATTATACACATGTCAAGTATAATGGATGTATATATTATAATTATGTGTTTCGTAAAAAGCTAGTTAATTATCCCCTCTAATTACATAACAAATTATTATTTATTAACTTGTTAATTATTAACGTACAACAATGTAAGTTGAACATCATGCTACCACATCGTCTATATCACATTATACATTTATTAGATCGATCCTTGGTTTTATTTGGTATGTGCCATTTTCTTTCGTCTAAATTTGATATAAAATGTAAATATGTTACATATTTTATATATATTTACACGTTTGAAAATACAAAAAGAAACAAACAATAACAAGAAATAACACATATTAGAAGAAAAATCTGTGTTAGATTGAGAATGCTTCAAAACTCTTGTCGGAATAATGATGTTAAAAGTATGATGAAAAACTCTTTTCAGGATAATGATGTTCTAATGATTTTCGAATGTTGAAAGTATAAAGACTTCTTTATACTCTTCTAATTTTTCAACACAGTTATACTTTTTTATTAATTCATACGGTCTTTGATTTCATGCGCTCTGAGCAGGATAATCAAGACCGGGGATAATCACCCGTATATTCCTTAGATATGTTTGGGTTGTTCCTGCGCCACGCAAGGCTGCGGAGTTCGATTTGAGCCATCGCTTTATGCCTGGCTGGTTACCGCTCCTCTATGTCTTTCCTCCGTGCAGTGAAGGCAGAGGAAAGGACAGACGTCCTCAAGAACGCGGGGGAACGCGTTCTTGCTTCGACCGTAGTCTGCTTTTTCAGCCAAGCGATACTTCGCCGAAGAATTCAATGAAGAATTACCGCATAATTTTCAACTCCTACCGTCCAGTTTCCCTATTTGGCGGCGTATTTTTATGAACTTTTATCATCTCGCCTTTACATCAAGAGACTCAACGTCGTAAGTTTGAAGATGTTGGAATGCTGTGCGCGTACTTGAAAAGTTGTAACGATATTTGTTGAAGAAACTGGAGAGTTTGCCAACGACAGTTTTGTACGAGGAAAATTGAAAAAATTGCAATTGAAACGAAATGTAAAAAATGGAAAAAATTTCCTAAGGGTTAAAAACAAAGAATTCTTGCTCTATATTATTACTCAATGTCAAATTCAATATATCATTATCTATATTAATACATTCTATACGATTAACTCATGGATTTCTACTTTTGTAAAGATTCTTTTGCAAAGAATTATGATTGTTATTTTTATATTTTTAATATTCGATATTCGCGCAGGTGTCCTACTTATAAAAATTAAAATTAAATTTTTTTTGTTTATTACTTTAATGCTATGCAAAAATATATCAGATCTACAAATAGCGCATATTGTTTTAATAAACGAGAAATAAAGCGGAATCATTTGGTAAGCGTTATTTGTATAAGTGGAGCAACAGTGCTATGTCATGCAGAAACCAGGTTTATTTCCAAATTAATCACGTATAAATAAATCTAGGCCACATTTTATAACGCAATATAGCTCACTATTTTTAATATGATTTCCCCTTCTGATTCATTCCTGTCTATTTATATATAAATAATCAAAAGAATATTTAAAAAATATACTTGATTTTTTTTGTACAATATAATATAATAATATATTTAAAATACATAAAAATATATTTCAATTTTTTGTTACATAAATTACTTTTTTATTTTACGTTTATTTTATATATAGTTTAATATAGCTAATGATTTATAAATTTTTTTTTAAATCTTATAAATTTGCAAACAAATTTTAATAATATGTAATAATAATATGTAATAATAATATGTAGTATTTAAAAGATACTATATTTGTGATATTTATATATTTTCTAAATTATTGATTCAACTAAATATAGAATTATACAAATAAAATCTATTTTAACCTAATTTTTTTTTTAAAATAATTATTTATTTTGTGATTGTCAAATTAGAAAAATATATACTTTATGGAAAATATATAAATGGAAAAATTATCATAACGCATAAAAATTTTCTTAAAATAACAAAAATATTTTTATTTCATAAACAAATTTGAATTAAACCAAATTCCATAGAAAAATATTTATAGGGAAAAATATTTGTAGGGTCTTATCTTTATATCTCTTTCGCAGTGATACTACTGCTTTAACGAAAGTTCAACAAATAGTGTCGTATCATTGGCCTCATTCTCGTGCGGACACTCTGGATGAACCAAACTGTGATTAAAGGCCTAATTAACCACTTAACAAGATATATTTAACTCGCAGTGTCTTACTGTACATGAGAGAAAGAAAGAAAGAAAGACGAAAGGAGAAAGAGATCACATTGAAGAATGCTGCCGCATTTTTGGCACAAAAATAAGTAAGTTGTATTTCTCCTTTCTCTCTATCTATATCTCCTTCTTATTCTCTCCTATATAAAAAATTTAGGAGATAATTGCGGGCCTTTATCAATTGTGGGCAGAAATTAAAACGACTTTTGTTGCACGAAAGAAAAACGTTGCTCGTCTCTTTCTTTCTCATCGCGAGTATCGCATCGCAACCCTTTATCTCTTATTCGTAGAAAGACGGAGGGGATTCAAGCCTCATTGGCGGTTCATTCTGATTTGCTTATCGTAAGGGTACTCTGCGTTTCTTATCACCGAGATACGCAATTTCTTATCTACCAAGTGATAATTACACCGTATGCGTAGAAAACACAGGTGAAACATATTATGTCCCGTTAACATTGTATGATGTACGTATATAGTAAAAAAGTCAGATTTAAAAGGTTAATGCCTTTTTTTAAAATAAATCTCTATTTTTACACTTTACATATTAATAATTTTTAAAATTTTACTTAAATTCTTTAATAATAAAATTGAACATTTATTAACATATTAAGCATAAATTTATTGAAAAAGATTTTATGTACAAAAAATATTTTTTTATTTTATTCGGATAAAATATCTATTAATGCTTCGTAAGGACGTTTCTTTACCGTTACGGTGCATTCTATTGCAAAAATTGCGAGCTTGAGAGTGCAACGAGCATTCAGTTAGTTGAATCGAGAATGAGTCGAGAAAGTGCGATTAAAAGTATTAAAGTTTGCGTAACTAAAATGTTCGTTCAGCTAAGCGGAACGGGTAGATTTGCTAGGTGGATAAATAAATCCACAAGATCAAAATAAGATCATATTAAGTTATTTGTATCTAATTTCATAAAAAGTTTTTAAAATAATCTTAAATCTTATTAAATACATTTGTTATATCCTACGCGTTAACAAACAGAAATGTTTAAAATAATATTTTATTTTTAATCAGTTTAATTCATTTATTATCAGAATTTTTTGTTTTCAAATACGGATTTTTTTAAGTAATATATAAATCAATTAATGTATAAAAAATTTATTTGTTTGTATTTTTGGAATATCAAATTTATTTTTTCATGTTATTATGAAATGTTATTATGAAAACTTGCTTCGTGATATAAAAATTTATTTGATATTAATATCAAAAATTTGCACACTATGCGGTAAAAGTTAGTAGAAAATCCAAACTTCATGGAATATTATTCCTATAAAAATTTTTTCCTATAAGAACATACACAAATTTATATAAACATATATAAATATATATATCTAAATATATGTATATATCTACTTATATTCTTCTATGAAAACTTTTTCATTGAAATGTTAATTAAAAAAATTTCGACAATCCAAATTAATGGTATACATTCGTTCATGTACCAGTTTCGAAAACAAATCGCATTTTAACTTAACATCCGTTAGCTCACTTTAGCGTTAACGCAAAGTTTTGCTTAGAATGCCATTAATTTACAATGAGATTTAACGTTTCGTTTAAAAGTTTCTTTTAAAACTTTTAAAAACATCTCTTCAATGTTATTCAACATCTCTTCAAGATTTTCAAACGAAGATAATAATCAAACCTGCACGTACCTCTTTCTTCTTGTGTAACGTTTGCCCCGTCGATATATATCACCATGAAGAGCACGTAAATTCCAAGGATTTTGGCCAACTCCATCCTGCGCCCTCGCAATCCTAGATCCTAGATCGAGGAAACTTCGGGCACCCTCACAACAATCAGCGACGCATATCCACTGCACCACCACAAACAACCACCGTACACTCGTCACCGTCAACAACGCGCGAATTTCTTAAACTCGCGTATCCCCGGAGAACGATCCGCGGTTGATTTCACATTTATCGCGATCGCGACTCGGCGATAGTTTCGCACTTCAGAACGTTGCTCGCAACGACCCACTGTCTGTTTCGCGTTTTTTTTTTCACGTTTACATTTACACAGGGACGAACCGAGACATTATGTGATCAATGCGGAATTCGTGGATCTTGGATAGTCACAAGAATCATATACATCTCCGATTTCGATCTTCTTCTCGGCGAACGAGTCTATATCTAAAATATATAGAAGCACGTGGAAACAACTTGTCGACATCGACGCGCGCAACGTGTTTTGAATATGATTCATGGACCGTTCTCGACGGCGATCGAACGATCTGCAATAAAATATAATAGATCCCACGGGGCACTGCGCTCGAAAGAAATGGACGCACTCGCGTTATCGATAAAAGATTTGACGCGCGTCAACAAACACGTGAGTTGACATAAATTTTTATGACGGACCGGAGTAACGCGAAGGTGATTTTCTCGATCGGCTACCCTCGCGGGAGCGTTTACAGTGCGCGCGTGAACCTACCTCCACACCAGTCGCGTCGAGAATACGCAGGATCAAGGGAGATCTATGCGCCATCAGTCGGCGCAACCGCACCCGAAGATTTACGGAGTCGGTCGAAGATCGCCGAGGAGCCGAGTCGGCGGTTGATTCCGAGTTTGTAAACAATACGACGGGACGTGTTATTGATACGATACGCAATGAAATTCCGGCTGCGTTCCGATATTCACTGCCAGTACTAAAAATATATAGTTCGAGTCACATATATTATAGATTTTCAGTACTGGCAATGAATATCGGGACGCAGCCTCCATTATCTTGCCGCCGCGCTGTATGTGTACGATCTCGACGAGATCTCTTTGCCATCGGACAAACAAAACGAAATCGAATTTGCGACTGGTAAGTATGTAAAACCTGTGCGAAGCTTCTTCACATGCGCGGATTTCGAATATTTGCTCTCTTTACGTCAATCTGAAGTTGACGATTATTTTAAATTCAATTGCGCGCGCTTCGTAGGTTAGAAACGCATTTGGATTTTAAGTTTGTTGTATAGATTTGAAGAGAACAATATAATCGAAATATGGATGTATTCAGGATTTTTTCGGAAGGGAAGAGGTTTATCAATTCTTTTAACACATATGCAATTTTTTGCGTTATGAATTGTTTTTTTTGGATATTTTAGAGCTTAGAATATTTTCTCGTTTCTGATTTTAAATAAGAACAAGGTCTTGTAAATCATAACTTTAATTTTTTTTTTTTAAATTTGGGGAGGTTAAACCCCCCAAATCTTCTTCTGGATACGGACTATGAATTAAAAATGTATATGTGTCTTTACAATAATCTAACATCAGAATAACAAGAACGGTAAATACTTCAAAATACTATATAAATTTAGAATATATTTCGAGTTTAATATATATTTTATTATTAAAATTGTGTTAATTGGGGAGATATTGTTAATTGGAGACTGTTGTAACTGTAAAAATTCATAAATTTTGTTCTGTTTATAGTTGAAAATATAAGCAAAATCATTCGAAATGAAATATTTTACAATTTAGAATTAAAAGGGTTATATTTTTACATTTATCTATTATCATTTGTATGTTTATGCATTTATCTATATCTATTAATATTCCCCATATAGGGTTTTACAATTGGCTCAGTGCTACACCAGTACTTGTTATCACAGTTCAGGTATTGGAAAACTACTTGCGCAGTAATGGCAAAGTGTCGGATGACAACTTGGGCCCAATACTAGCAGATGATACTGGCCCAACCATTCGCCAATCATTTGCCAGTGATGGCTCAACACTGGCTGACAGAACCTCGGCCGATAATCTAGCATTGGCTAATTGGTTGGTTTTGTTATAACAACTGGCGATTCCTATATTCCTGGATTCAGTAAACATTAATTTTTGATAATTTTATTATTTATTTGACATGATTTTATAGACTTAATTTACTAATATATAAATACTAAATTTCTATTAATGAAATTAATTAACTTAATTAATATAATATGACAAATATTGTCATCATTATTATCATATTATTGAAATAGAATTTTATATTTATTATTTAATATAAAAATTTGATTATAAAAAGATTAACATAATATATATATCTATGTAGAACGAATTAAAAAGAATACGCGGAAGATACCTTTCTACCAAAGAAGAGCGGATGTGCGTGTACAGCCCTGTCGATTCCACGAAGACGTTAGTCGTTTTATCGTTGCAAAAATTGTCGAGAAGACTGGTTTCTTGTCGCCAATGCATGCATGTATGGTATACACATGCGATGCATACATGTGATTTTGTACCTGAGAAGAAATCCGCAACAGAGGAATAGTGAGTTATGAACATTGTCTCATATTCTTGATTTATGAAAATTTTTCATTACAATTCTTTCTTGTTTTAAAAACTATTTCTTTTATAAAATGTATTTACACAAAATGTTCCATCTGTATAATATCTTAACAGTGTAATTTAAAAATTTATTAGAATTAAAAAATGAAATAAATATACGCAAGAAAATGATGAAATAATTGATAATCTTTTAATAAATCCAAGTTATTTTAAAATTTGAATTATGAGAATTGTAATTTGATATGCAATAGAAAGTATAACTAATAACAATACATAAATTTTATGTATAATAGTTATAATAAAGAGCTTGTAATTATTAAAGAGCGTCTAATTACTTTGATTGTAATAAAATATTTTATTTATTATATTAATATCACAAACACATATTTTGTTGTATGCAGTCACCTTGCTGCTGATTAAGTGCTATGTCAATACTTGAACGGGAAGGTATGACTCGTTTTATTATATATATATATATATATATATATTTATTTATTATCAATGTTTAGACAATTTATTTATTTAAAGTAAAAATTTAAGTAATAAAATATGCAAATGAATTATTTTCTTAAAAAAAAAAATAATTTGTAAAATAAATTATGATCCGTCGAAATGGATTTGTTACACTGCATTACACACAATTAAAACCTAAGGCACACATGTTTCTAATAAATCTATCGTTCTTTCTATATCTTTGTTAAAGTAATCAGGCAGCTGAATAAAGCACGTCTATTATATCGTCTTCCGGCATTAAGATAACTGACGAACTGGCTTTGTTTAGAATTGTGTGCCGATTAAAACATATTGCTTTTGCGTCGCTACTATGCGAGCATTCTCGACAAAAATAGCATTGTCTTCGGTATTGCTGATAAGCGAATTAAAACGTCACATTATTCTTAGATATTAGTGATCTTTTCGCAATAGAGTGAAAACGTTTTAATTAAGCCGGTTCTCTGATTATTAACGAAGTGCCATCATGTGTATCCTGAGAGTTAACGGTCTTCATAAAAATGCAGATGTCTTCATCGTGCTGTTAATTTCTTTTTCTCCCTTTTCAAATCATTAATTTCCCCGCAGCAATGGTTCCCAGTAAGATCTGGGAACCGTGGCCAATAGTTCGTTCTCAACCTTTTTTCATGTATGGAATACTAATTTTACGAGTTTTATGCTTTGCGGAATTTTTACGTATGAATATTGTACATTCAAATAATTTGCAGGACATTCAAATAATTTGTTATAGATTACTAAAGTCTTGCAACTTTGTTTACTTTTAGTTAGTACTTTTTTAAAATATGGATTAATAATAATTAATTTCCATCGTTTTTCTTTTTCTCCTCTCTCTCCCTCCTCTCTCTCTCTCTCTCTCTCTCTCTCTCTCTCTCTTCTTACTTCTTACTTATTTACTTAATTTATATTATTATATTATATTATATTATATATTATATATATATATATATATATATATATATATATATATATATATATATATATATATATATATATATATATATATATATATACACATGTAATCAAGCTCCGGCTAAATTTATTTCGCTTATTCTCTGTACTATGTCTCGCTTATGTTAAGTGATTACTGCACCTCGCTACTGTTTCGCGATATTGCGCGGAAGATTCGAAAACGAATTTTACGCGTCGTGCGACAAAGGAAAATCAAATCTTTCACGAGGTAGAAGTGGATACTGAAAATCGTTCTGTTTTCGATTGCACGTACTGAGTAATTCTTTTAAACCCTTCGAGACCAGCAACATTACCGCACTTTTTTGAGAGAAATGCGCCAATTAAAATATGTAGATACAAATTTGTTAGAATTTTTTTATTGAAAAGACTTTAAAAATTTATCATACTGATATGCGTTTCGCGAATAATAGGCGAATTTGGACTAAAATTTATCAGTCGACGAATTTAATGATATCGCGTATTGAACTTGGCCGATATGTCTAATTAAATTCAGCAATACGTCGATGTATGTGTTCAACATATTCGTTGTCTTGAGCAGCTTAATTTATATCAATAATCGTCCGTAAGGAAACTTCTCTAACTGGAAACGAAGGGATTAATGACGGAGCATCTTAAAAGGAGTTCTTAAAAGCTACTTTATATATTTATGTAACATTCGCATTAGCAACGTTTAATGCGTGCGTTCCCTCAATTGTTTCGTATTCCCATAATCCTAATGCTCTTCTATGCTCTCGACTATCATTTAATTTGCGATAATCTAAACAACGTAATATGTGTGTATACTTCTTACATATTTTTATAAATTCCCTTTTACATATGAAAAGGGAATTAAACCTTCTGTCCCACGAGATGTCCGTATTATTTCGACTTTTTTCGTCATTCTCGCACATTTTTTTTATCATTGTTACCTGCCGTAAAATCAGAAAAATATTCATAATTTATTATTTTCATGTTCATTATACGCAAATGATATTTATGGATTGCTTAAATAAGTGAATTTCCGTTTTAGAAGAGATCTATTTAAAGAAGTCATATTGTGAAAACTGATTTTATCATTATTATCAAATTTTTTATTATTTATTTTTTTAGATTTAAAATATAATCAAAGCGCGGATTTAAAATATAAACAAGTTGCATATTATGCTCGATTAATTCAATCATGTCATGTGTGTGTGTATATATACATATATATGTGTATGTAAAAACTGAACGATTAGAATTATTTCGTAAAAGATATCGATTATTGCAAGCGCTATTCTTGAGAGAAGACGCGCGAAAAATGGGGAATTTCGGGGGACGCATTATATACATAGAAAATTAAAGATAATTAAACTTTAGAAAGCTACATCTTATAGCAGGCACATCTTATCATATCACGCTAGAGGCTTAAACAAGCCTGGTAAAACCACACAGAAATACTGAATCCGACATTTGTTGTATCTCATTTCTTGTAATGACTAATTACGTATTTTTCTCTCTTTTTTTTTATTCTTACGTGTATACATTTGTTTGCATGCATTCTTTTTCTTTTTCATATGGGCAGTCTCTTTTGTTATTAATTAACGAAAAGACACAAATAGCGCGTAAGCATAAATAACAATGGACAAATTTTTATCTTGTTGGAAGGGATAGAGATTCTGAATTGTCAGAGATTATCTCCTTTCATATTTGCAATAAGAATATTTAATCGCAAAGCTATACGTTCGTGAAGAAATCGTTGCAAACTTGTAGACAATCTTTTGTTTTAAACTTCAGTATTTTTCTTATTAGATTCAAAACAATATATAGGCAAATTCATCAAAAACGTCTTAAGCATTTAATAACAATAATAACGTTGTAGTCTTTTTATATTGGTTCTCATTCATATTTATTATTATTTTATCTTAAAATTTTAAATAATCATAAATAAATCAGTTTATGTAAAATTACGAAAAAGATATTAATAAATGATGATTTCATATTTGTTCGATAGTTAATTTACTATATGTTTTTTAAATAAAGTGATGTGAGCAATGAAAATTAAAAAGATAATGGCGCTGTTGCAAAATCTAACTGAAAAATTAAATTCTATTATATCTTTCATTTGTAAAAAAAATAAAATTATTTTTTGCAGATTGATCTTCAACATATGAAAAAGAAATGTGATCGTGTAAATAAAATTTTTAATAATTTTATATTTTTAGGATGTTATATGTATTTGTAACAAATATAATCGGAATTTACCGATATTCTTTTGCAAGAAATTATCTACAAGTTGTTAAAGATTTTTATTAATATTTTGCATAATCTAATTTACTTTTGATTTAAAAAATGAATACAAAAAGCAGTGATGCGCGTTCTTCTATAAAGAGATACATTTTCTAAATTTTACACAAAGTGATTTAATTTTTCAGTATTGTTTTGCAACGTATAATTATATATTAATGCAGTTTCTTTTAAAATTAGCTGTGAGTTTTTTTTCATATTAGAAGTTGAGGAAAATTTTTTTACCTTAACGGACATGTTATCATTGCGGGTCACGTATTTGTAAAATCATAATTGTGATCTTATCAATATAAAAATTTGTATATCAAATCATTGGACATTTAAAATACAGAATATTAAAATATCTATCGGTAAAACATTCAAAACAATTCGTTAAATTAAAAAAGAATACCATTTTCTTATTCAAATAAATGCTAAAATAATCATAAAATTTTGAAACAATTAAGAAACTTCTTTTTATGATATAAAATAAATAATGCCTCAAAAAATGCTTTGTACCACTCATTAAATCTTTTAAAAGCAAAAAATTAAAATTCAATGTATATCTGATAATACAACAACAATATTATTCTTTTATTTACTATCTTTCATTTAATATTGTTCCTAACAACATTGTATATCGAGCAAGTATATCGATAAAAGATCTGATATCTTTTAAATAGTAAATTCTATCTTTAAAGCTCTTAACTTATAGTCATTTAGAATTAAACATTTATTACGAACGCGCGTGTGGTCAATTGAGTGTAAATCGTGATTAAAGGAAATGTGGTGAAAAAGCTTCGGAAAAAAATTAATAATTAGTGCCGCGAGGGATCGTTGCCCGACGAAACCTTCTTAAATTATCGACGTTTGAATCGCGTCATTGTCCGATTATGCTCGTTTGATTACGTAACGAAAATCGAGGATGGTGGTCCGGTAATTAATATTTAACAGACGACTGCCTCCGATATTGGGTTTTCTGTGATGTGTATGGTCGCGGTAGGCCAGTCGATCTTCTTACTGCAAACATGATTCAGTTCTTCCAACGAAGCCAGTCTGTAATCGGCCATTTTTAACGGCGATAGCGGAGCCACTGTAAATGAAAATATCGAAAGGTAGTATCTTCAATTTCATTTCATTAACCTCGCCTTGAAGAGGCTGTAACGCGCATGTAATTACATTTGTTCGCTCCAATTTTGTTACGCGAGCGTAAAAAATCGCTGAATTGAAGAATATAAACAAAAGAAAGCGCACATGCAAAATAAACAAAAAATCAAAGGTGTATCGTTAATGGATTGTTGTGTGCGCATAGCGAGACGTTGTGGTCTGATAAGGACTGTTCACTATTCTATATTGCCCAGGTGCAAGATTGCTCTGTTTTTGTCTTTTAATCGTTTTTGAAAATAATTTTACAAAAATATATCTAATATGAGTGTGCTGTTGCAAAATGAGTTAATTTCCTTTTAATTTATATAAAATAAATACATTTTAATTTGGATCACCTGTACCATACTGTCGCATAATAGGTTGGTCTCTGTTAATATCGCAAATAGATAGTACCTTGCTATTGATTAAAAGAGAACTATAAGATAGAAAAACTTAATCGATAAAACCAATTTATCATAAATTATTTCACCGGGCATTGGCAATGTTCACTGTGCATTTGTTCTTTTGACATTCTTCTAGTT